TGAACGAATATTATAGAATTTATTAATCAACAAATATTTCATTTCTCTAATAAAGGTTCAAGTCCTAAATGCTAATTACAATGACAAACCGATCAGTCATATTTGAAGTATGACTTTAATTACATTAGTGTTTTTAAATATAAAACATATTTTTATTCTCCCATTATTAAACAATTCAAACATTCAAACAATCTATAATTTTTATCCGATTTCTACTACAAAAGGTGAACAAACTCTACAACTATTCTGGTGTCACTTTTGCAAAGACACAAATAACGGATTTATCAAATTGCAAAAAAATGTTTTATTTGAAATACAAAACGATACGGAAATCTATTTATAAAACTTAAACCATTGTCGATTTTTTTGCGATTTTTAAAACAGCTGCTACCCATATGTTTGTTTGGGAAAATTACCTAGAGCGACAGATGCTAAAATAACGGACACTTTTTTTGCAAAATTAGGGTCACATTGAGAAAATTATTGAGGTCTGACAATTGTATTGCAAAACTAGTGGTATATGGCATCGTGCCTTAAGGCAAATTGCTGGAACTTCCCGTACCGTAATGAAATATTCGAAAAATTCTAAACGTTTTCAAACATATTATTACAAATACTGTAACTTTCATTATTTTTGCCATCTTGTTATATCTGAGCAAATCAAATGTAAATCATAAATAAATCAATTTATCTCCAGAACATTAACAATCGTCGAATTCAATTCCAAAAAATATTTGCCTAAATTTACACAAAATTGAAAAAGTGCTCCCGTACAGTCACAGTCACAACGCATTTGCAAATAATTTTGTGCGACATTTTCACTTATACTGTGCTTAGCTTGGCGGCATTTACACATTTTTCAATAGTTTTCTAACAAAATTGAAAAAGTGCTCCTTACATAAACAGTCTAAACGCACTTGCGTAAACATTTGTACCAGAGTGGCGCTTAGACTGTGCTTAGCCTGGGTCATTTTTTGAATTTTTAATCCAAAATTGTAAAAATATTTTATGGAAAATCAGTCATCATTTTAATAAATTAATTTTATTTTAGGATCACCTTTGGACCCATCATACGTTTTTTGCACAAAATTGACCTATGTCAAAGCATTTTGAAGTACAAAACCAGTTTCTGAATGTAAAATTTGTTGTCTTATCACATTTTTACGAAAATTTGCATAAATGTTTATGTAATACTTGTGTTTTGTCTAATATATTGTTCTGAAGCACATGTTACTATGCTAGTACTAGTGCCAAAAATTTACAAATTTTTGGCACAGATTCTGAAGAATATATATATATATATATATATATATATATGTATATATATATTTATATATATATATATATATATATACAAACAATTCTAAAAATTATACCAAGTTTCATATATTCTTTCAGAACAAACTTTTGGTATCAAAAATAAAATAATATTTTTGTTGTTCTAGGTTAATTTTAGATATGTAAATTATAAAATTCCTATATGTATGTGCTTTGTGAGAAAATTTATGTAAGAATTTGCAAAAATTATAAACAATCTTTGTTTAAAAAATTGAGACAATTTCATGTTAAAATTTATGTAAAATTTTGCAAAAATTATAAACAATCTTTGTTTAAAAAATTGAGGCAATTTTACATGTAGTTTAGAATAAATTTTTGGTAAAAACTTCAAATTATAAGAATTAGTTATAATTTATGTCGTTATGAGTTAAATTTTTACTAAAATGACATAATTTATATGTAAATATGTTATTTATAAATAAATTTGTTTAAGGACTTTAATGAGCAAACAGTAATTTAAAAAAATAAGACATATTTTAGACCGATTTAGGAGAAACAATTGGTTAAAACTTAAATTTTAGTAAAATGACATTTTATATTATATATGTAAAATTAAAAAAAAAATCTAGATAAGTTTAGAAGAAAAATTTGTTTGAACAAGTTTGAATTTTATAAAATCAATATAATTTTGACTAAAAATATAAAAAAATTGTAATACTTTTGTTAAAAACATCAAATTTGTTAAAATCTACATCGTTTTAAATATGTTTTAGTAAAGCCATAAAATTTAATTAAATTATTAAATTAATAAAACCATTAAATCTATAATGAGTCCTTTAAGAATAATTTAATGCAAAAATTTTAATAGCAGTAATTTTAAAAATTAAGACAAATCCACGCTTTTATTACAATTTTTTTGATTGTAATAAAATAAAACTTGAATTTTGGTCAAATATTTGGTAAAATTAAAAATGTTATGTTTTAAAAATTGGTACAAATACACATATCGTTTTTGTATAAACTTTTCAGTAAGTACTTCAATTTTTGCTGTATGAGAAATTTTTCAAATTTTAAAGTCAACATACAATTTAGTAATAAATTTGTGAAAAGTATTCAACATTACTCAACAAACTATATTCTTTTAGAATAAATTCTGTTTTAAAAAAGAAGGTAAAATTTCAGTTATTCAAGTTGGTTTTCTATGCATTTTGCGAAACAAGTTCTATAAAAATTTACCAAATTATTAAACAATTCTAAACAATTTGCAAATTTGTTAAAAATTTAAGACAAATCCACTTGCTGTTTAAATTTTTTTCCATAAACACTTCAATTTTAAGAATTAGGTATAATGCAAGCTAAATTTTTAGCAAAATCATATTATTATCACTTTCTATTCTCAAATAATATATTATATTGAATAAATAATAATTTTAAAATTTAAGAGCAATGCAAAAATTCTTTTATTAGAAATTTTGGTTAAAAGATATCAAATTTGATAAATATACGTTTTAGGTATTTTTTTTAGCTAAGTCATACAATTTACATATCAATAATAAGTTCTTTAAGAATAATTTTATGCAAAAATTTTAATTGCAGTAATTTTAAAAATTAAGACAAATCCACGTGTGCTTCTTTGACAATTTTTATGATAAAAACTTGGAAAAATATTTGGTAAAATTATAAAACTCGAAAACCAGTGTATAATTCAAGAAAAAAAATATGCAAAAATGCAACATTAATAAACAGAAATATGTTTTAAAAATTGGTGCAAATACACATATCCTTTTTGGATAAACTTTTAGTAAGTACTTCAATTTTTGCTGTATAAACATTTTGAGAAATTTTTGAAACTTTTGTAATAAATTTGTAAAAAGTATTTATTATTACTCAACAAACTATATTTATATTTGAAATGATCAAAACAAATCAAAATACCCTTCAGGATAAATTGAAGGAGCAATGATTACATTTAATAAAATAAAGTTTTTTGGATAAAATTAAAACAAATTTATAAAATTTAAATTTTGTCATTTCAGAATGAAAATTTATGAATTTTGCACACTTTTTTGAATAATTATGTGCACATATTGTATTTGTATTACTTAGAAAAAATTATGATAATTTGGGATGAACTTTTGGTAAAAATTTAATTTATTGGATTAAATTTTAGATAAGATTGGAAAACTAAAGGATTAATATATCATTTACAAATCCAATTTCTTGACAAGTCTCTAATGTTAATAAATTAATAAAGCTTCGAGAAATAATTATATATCTTATATATAAAATTCTTCTGTAACGGGATATGAAAGGTTAATCCTTCTAAACGATTATTCGGATTCTCATAAATCTTCCTGAAGTTTGTTAAGGGATTTTTCTAGGATTTTTTCATTAATATAAATATAGTTAGATTGTAGAAATAAGTGGAAAAAATTACAAAAAACCGCTTATCATTGTATGCAATTTTGAAGTATATTGAGTTGGTGTAGAGCATTATGATGTTATACAATATTATAGATAATATAATTTTGAACAAATTTGTCGAATATTGCATTCAAATCAGACGCACCGTTTAGAAGTTACAAGACTTTTAATAAATAAATGCACCAGTACGATGGATCAAATTAAGGGTCAAAACGTTTCGCGTCAAATATGTCGTATGGGGTATCATTTAAAAGGTCTCGATAGAATATATTCAAATCTAAAATTGACTGACATGATAAAACAATAGGGTTCCGTATAATACATATTTTTTCATACTGACTATTAAATTTTTATTTTAATTAAGATTTTACAGTATACCGAGTTGCTTTAGAGTTTGACTATCTTACACAATAATGTAGATAATTTAATTTTGAACAAATTTGTCGAATATTGCATTCAAATCAGACTTATCGTTTGAAAGTTACAAGACATTGTTTGAACAAATTTACAGTCTGATGGATGTAATGAGATGTCAAAACGTTTTGCGTCAAATATGTCGTATGGGGTACCATTTAAAAGGTCTCGATAGAATATATTCAAATCTAAAATTGATTGACATAAAACAATAAGGTTCCGTATGATACATATTTTTTCATACTGGCTATTAAATTTTTATTTTAATCAAGATTTTACATTATATCGACAATATAATAGATAATTTAATTTTTGTAATAAAAGTAATAAATAAATAAATATATATACATATAAATATATATTTATATATATTTATATATATTTATATAAATATATATATATATATATATATATATATATATTTAATAATTCAAACTGACAGGAGGGTTGATAGGAGTGAAGTTTGACACATGTCAGAAAGAGAACTGTCAAATTATTTTTTGACATAATAATAAAAGTAATAAATAAATAAATAAATATATATACATATATACATATATATATATATACATATTTATATATATTTATATAAATATTTTAATTATTTTTTTTAATAATTTAGGCAAACGTCAAACTGACAGGAGTGAAGTTTGACACATGTCAGAGAGAAAACTGTCAAATTAATTTTTGACATAATTAATAATAAAAGTAATAAATAAATAAATATATATATATACATATATATACACATTTATATATATATATATATATATATATATTATTCTTTTTATTATTTTCTCTCTACTAATCAAAATGCCGGCCGGCTTAGCAACACGTACACAGCTTCAATTTCTCCCGAATAAAAACACAATTAAAATACTAACCTTTACAATTCTGGTTCAACAAACACTTTAAATCTTCACTCCACACTTTAATAAACAATTTACTAAACACTTTTCTTTTAATATTACATTTGTTTCACTAAATTTCTCTAAAAATGCCACAGAACGACGAGGACCTTTCTCTTCTGACACTGAATTAGAACTGAACCCGGTCGCGCCACTGCACAGTTACTTAACCGTTCGGAAAAGAAGGGGATAGAAGATACAGTTTTGGGTGAGAGGAAACGAGACGGAGATATGAATTTTGCACAGTTACTTAGGTGCAAGGATGAGAAAGGGATGGGAGATAGGGATTTTGGGTGAGTGCGAAAGAGAGGTGAGTATGATAAAATTATTTATTAATTATTAAGATATCGTGTTATGGTTCAAAGTTTAGTCTGTTATTATTTTGCATGGTTACACGAGATATTTGTTTATTGTATCTCTTGTAACTTTTAAACTAAACGTCCGATTTTAATGATTTATTAAGAAAATTTGTTCAAAATGGAATTGTTTATAATTCTTTCTAAGGATATAAGGACCTACAGCAACTCGGTATACTTTAAAATCGCTTTTGAAAACCGAGCATTTCTTTGAGGCTGACTTATAGTGCCTTTGTTTTTTGTATCTCTTGTAACTTTTAAACCAAACGTCCGATTTTAATAACTTATTAAGAAAGTTTGTTCAAAATTAAGTTGTCTAGAATTCTTTCTCATACTATAAGACCCTACAGCAACTCGGTATACTCTAAAATTGTTTTTGAAAACGGATCATTTTTTGTGTTTGTCTTATAGTGCGTTTAACTGTTATCTCATGTAATTCTCAAACCAAATGTCTGATTTGTATGATGTATTAATGAAATTTGTTCAAAATTAAATTGTTTATAATTCTTTCTAAGGTTATAAGGACTTACAGCAACTCGGTATACTTTAAAATCGCTTTTGAAAACAGAGCATTTTTTTGAGGTCGACTCACAGTGCATGTGTTTATTATATCTCTTGTAACTTTTAAACTAACTGTTAAATTTAAATAATGTGTTAGTAAAATATGTACAAAACTAAATTCTCTATATGTCTTTCTAATGTTACAAAAACTTCCAGTAACTTGCTATAATTAAAAAAGTTAAGTAAAATCCTAATGCAACCAAAAAATTTAGATAAAATGTTAAATTTTGCATTTCCACTTTAGAAGCTTCTAAAACGCCTTTTTGTTTAGAACCCTCAGTGTCCTTATTTTTCTTGTAAAAACACATCTTTTCCTAATCCAAAAATATTTTTGTCATATTTTGTCAACCCAAGTACGTCTCATAATAAAATTGTCAATGAACAAATGCTCTTGATGCTAATTAATACAAATCGGTTTTGTGCTCCAACTTTAAGGCTATCTAAAAGGTTTTAAAACAAAGAACCTTTAGTGTCCTTATTTTTCCTGCAAATATACATCTTTTTCTTATCCAAAAATATTTTTTTACATATTTTTTTGGCCCATGCATGTCCCGTAATAAAATTTTCGAGTATCAAAAGACTATGGACCCAAAAAACATAAAAAATGCTGCTCGACTTTAAGGTCCTTTAGACACTCTATTTGAGCAAAGTCTTCAGTATTCTAATATTTTCTCAAAATATACATCTAATCTTTATCCAAAAATATTTTTTACATATTTTTTTGACCCATGCATGTCCCATAATAAAGTTCTCAAGAATAAAAAAAATCATTGCCCCATCGACTTCAAAGTGCTTTAGATCCTTTATTTGAGCAAAGTCTTTAGAATTCTAATTTTTTCTCAAAATATACATATATTCTCTGCTCAAACATATTTTTTTTTAAATTTTGTTGACCCAAATACGTCCCATAATCAAATTCTCAAAAGTCAAAAGACCATGGACCTAAAAAACTTAAAAAATGCTGCTCGACTTTAAGGTCCTTTAAACCCTTCATTTGAGCAAAGTCTTCAGTATTCTAATTTTTTCTCAAAATATACATCTGTTTTTTAGCCAAAAATATTTTTTCCAAAATTTTTTTGATCCATGCACGTCCCATAATGAAATTCTGGAGTATCAAAAGACCATGGATGCCAAAAAACTTTAAGGTCCTTTAGACCCTTTATTTGAGCTTAGTCTTCGGTATTCTAATTTTTTCTCAAAATATACATATATTCTCTACCTAAAAATATTTTTTCTGAATTTTGTTGTCCTAAGTACCTCACATAATAAAATTCTCAAAACACAAAATACAAAAATACTGTCTCTTTTGGCGCATCAACTTTGAGGCTCTCTAGACCCATTTTTTGGGCAAAACTTTAAGTGCCCATAATTTTGCTACAGACATACATGATTTTCTTATCCAAAAATATTTTTTACATATTTTTTTGACCCAAGTACGTCCCATAATAAAATTCTCAAGAATCAAAAGACCATGGACCCAAAAAACATAAAAAATGCTGCTCGACTTCAAGGTACTTTAGACCCTTTATTTGGGCAAATCTATTATTAACTTCCCGTAGGGTAAGTTATTGTAATGGGCCGAAATCGGAATTGAAAATTTTACATTTCTCGACGTTTTGAAGGTTTCTGAACATTTTGGCATACTTCAGAAAAATGGATGTGTGTGTGTGTGTGTGTGTGTGTGTGTGTGTGTATGTATGTATGGATACAAATTTTTCGCCCACGTTTTCGGGCCGTACGGATCAACCGATTTGAATGGTTTAAAAACATTCGATTCCTATTAATAAGGAGAAGAGCTGATTAGTTTTTGGCAAAGGCAGGTCCAGCAGTTACGGAGATAAGGAGCAAAGAGTGCAGAAAAATAAATCGAGTTTTTGAGAGAACGGAGCATCCGATTTGAATGATTTAAAAAACATTCAATTAGTAATGATTGGGAAAAGGGTTATCAGTTTTTCGCAAAGGCAGGCCCAGCCATTTCGGAGATACAGAGCTAAATGTACAAAAAATGGCAGTTTTTGAGAGAACTAAGCGTCCGATTCAATTGATTCAAAGAACTTTCTGCTTGTCTTAACAAAATAATTGATTTTGGAAAAAAAAAATTTGTACCTTTTTTTTTTTTTTTTTTTTTTTTAATTTTTGTATATCGAAAATAATTCAGATTTTATTTTTATTTCTGACTATAGTTTTAATATACTTTAAACAAATAAATTCAACTCTGCAATTCAGTTTATATAATTCTTATAAATATTAGACAATGTTACAAATATTTATAATAATCTATTGAAAACATGCAAATTCCTCAAACATTTCGTTACGGTACGGGAAGTTCCAGCAATTTGCCTTAAGGCACGATGCCACCCACCCCACTAGTTTATTGTAACTTTTAAACCAAACGTCCAATTGTGATCATTTATGAGAAAAATTTGTACAAAATTGAATAATCTATCTTACTATCTAATATCATAAAGTTCTACAATAACTCAGGACTTTAAGAAGTCCATTGAATACGCTACAATTGATTTTATAATCAGTGCGCTAAAAACAAACATTCCTTTTTTAAATCTCTAATAACTTTTATAAAAATTAATTTATTTAAATAAAACATTCGGCAAATTTGTACAAAATTCAATAGTCTACAAAATTGTCTAATATCATAAAACCCTACAGCAACTCGGTATACATCAAAATAGCATTTGAAAACAACATTGTTCATATTAACAAATATTTCATCATTCTTGTTTATCCTTTACAAGTCCAATAATTTCACTATCAAAATAGGCACGAAACTTTACAAAATTTTTACCACCTATTCTCTAAAGTGTGAAGAATTAGACTATTTAAAAATTTACCATCTTACCATCAATTTCTCCTACTTTTTTCGCAAAATTTTGGAAAAAAATTCTGAATTTTTCGACGCATTTGTTAGGTCATCACCGGTCGATGTGAGAAGACCACGTGTTATTGTGGCGCGATGTAGAAGACGGATTGCCATTGGTCCACGGCGCGGATTGTATTTTTTTTGGGAATTAATTACAGGGACGTACTTGGGTTGAAAAAATTTGGAAAAAATATTTTTCGACTAAGAAAAGATGTATTTTTGTGGGAAAAATGAGGACAGTAAAGGTTTTGATTAAATAAAGTGTCTGGAGAGCCCCAAAGTTGGTGCGTAAAATCTAACTTTCTAGTTTATGCCTTTTGGGTCTATGACCCTTTGTTTTTTGGGAATTTTTTATGGGACGTACTTGGGTCGAAAAATATGGAAAAAATATTTTTGGACTAAGAAAAGATGTATTTTTGTAGGAAAATAAGGACGTTGAAGGTTTTGAATAAATGAAGTGTCTGGAGAGCCCTAAATTGATGCGCAAAATCTAACTTTCTAGTTTAAGCCTTTTGGATCTGTGAGCGTTTGTTGTTTGGGAATTTTATTACAAGACGTACTTGTGTCGAAAAAATTTTGGAAAAAAGATTTTTGCAATAAAAAGATGCATATTTGTAGGAAAAATAAAATCACTAAGGGTTTTGTGTGCAAAGGTGACAGACAGCTCTAAAGTTGGTGCGCAAATTTAACTTTTTCAGTTTAAGCCTTTTGGGTCTATGAGCATTTCATTTTTGAGAATTTTATTATGGGACGTACTCGGGTCCAAAAAATTTGGAAAAATATTTTTGGACTAAAAACGATTGTCGTTTTCAGAATAATTTTTTCAAAATAAAATCACTAAGATTTTTGTGTGCAAAAAGGTGTTAGACAGGTCTAATATAGCGCAAAATCTAACTTTTTAGTATTAAAATAATTTTATTAAATCTATTTTCACTGTACTATACATTAATTTATACGTTAATTATATTTTAATTTATTTGTCTAGAATAATATAAACAAAACATTATGAGAAAGTTATTGAATAATAATGCGCAATTTGAAATGCAATCGTAAAATTCAATTATTCAATAATAATTAATGCACTATTTTGCATTTTTATGTTTTAAAAATGCATATAAAGTATATATATATAATATATATATATATATATATTAATATATAAATTATACGAATTAATAATAAGTTTTATATAAATATTATATTATTTTTTATTTATTTTTGGTGCTTTGCCTGTAAAATTATTATTTCTTATTTCTACCAACAAATTAGAGATAATTAACTATTTTCAGTAAGTAGAATTAAAATGATATATTTAAGTATAAAATATCAAAATTTCAT